TCTTCATAACTATCAAAGTTATGAAAGTTTAAGAAAAAGCCAGGAGCTATTCCAGGAAAACAACAAATTATATGCACACACATGTGCACACACACACACAGAGGCATGATTACAAAAGGCATCTATAACACTGGAGCATTTTGCTACGGAAAACATTATTAACTTAATTGGTGAGAGTTGAATGTGGTGCAAGAGTTAGATGCTAGTAATATTTCAATGTTTATTTCTCATTTTCATTAGTTGTAGTGAGGTTTTATAGGAGATATCTTTGCTTATACAGCTGTTGGAGAATCAAGTCAGCATTTTGCTCTCAGAGTTCAAGAAAAAACATTCTTTGTTCTGTACTTTTTTTCTGTAACTTTAAGAGTGTTTCCAAATTTTAATTGTTAAAATTAAACCATGAAGGAACAGATATGCTCTATGTTTATATTTATATGCTCTATAAATATTACTGCTCTTTAATTATCAGTACAGACGCCCCCAATTCTATTCTCATGACCTTCTCCCATTTCCTTACCAGGCAAATACATCTTATAGAATGTAAAAGAAATATATATATATATATATATATATATATATATATATATATATATATATATGTAATGATTCTACTTTATTTAAGAAATGAAAGTAAATTTTACTCAATTAATAAGGCTTTATTAAACATTAGTAAATTCAATTACATTCTCAGAATTAGGCAAGAAAGAAAAGGAAAAGGAAAAAAATTATAGAGTATCTATATGTGTCAGGAAATGAAAGAGAAAGAATGGTTACTGTCCTAAAGATTATATTGGTCTTCTTCAATTTCTTTATTTAGTGTTCTGTCGTTTTTCTTATGGAGGTCTTTCACCTCTTTTGTTAAATTGATTCCCAAGTTTTTTTTTTTTTAAGCTATTATGAATGGGGTGATTTTCCTAATTTCTTTTTCAAAGGATTCATCAGTGAGGTATAGAAGTGCATTTGACTTATGGATATTGATTTTATATCTTGTTACTTTGCTGAATTCATTTATTAATCTAGAAGTTTTCTGGTGGAATTTTTTGTATCCTCTAAGTACAGAATCATGTCATGGGCAAATAGTGATAGTTTGAGTTCTTCTTTTCCTATTTGAATCCCTTTAATTTCTTTTGTCTAATTGCTCTGACTAGAGTTTCAAGGACTATGTTAAATAGAAGTGGTGAAAGAGGGCCTCCCTGTCTTGTTCCAGTTTTTAGAGAAAATGCTTCCAATTTTTCTACATTTAGAATAATATTGGCCTTTGGTTTACAGATAGCTTTTTACAATGTTGAAGTATGCTTCTACTATCCCTAGTTTTTCTAGTGTTTTGAACATGAAAGGGTGCTATATTTTGCTGTTGGTATCCGTGTATCTATTGAAATAATCATATGATTCTTATCTTTGAGTCAACTGATGTGGTGAATTACATTTATTAATTTCCATATGTTGAACCAATCTTGCATCCCTGGGATGAACCCCAGTTGATTATGGTACACTATCTTTTAAATATGTTTTGGTATGTGATTTGCCAGAATTTTACTGAGAATTTTTGTGTCTATGTTCATCAGGGATATTGGTCTGAAGTTTTCTTTCCTTGATGAGTTTTTGTCTGGCTTTGGCATTAGGGTGATACGAGTTTTGTAGAATGAGTTTGGGAGGGTTCCCTCCTTTTATATTTCATGGAATAATTTGAGAACACTAAAGAAAGAAATTGAAGAAGACCTTAAAAATGGAAAGATCTCCCATGCTCTTGGATAGGCAGAATCAATGTTGTCAAATATCCATACTACCAAAAGTGCTATACACATTCAATGCAATATCAATTAAAATTCCAATGTCATACCTCATATAAATAGAAAAAGCAATCATGAAATTCACTTGGAAAAACAAAAGGTCCAGGCCCCGCGAGGTGCACGCCTGTAATCCCAGCGGCTCAGGAGGTGGAAGTAGGAAGATTGTGAGTTCAAAGCCAGCCTCAGCAATTTAGCAAGGCGCTAAGCAACTCAGTGAGACCCTATCTCTAATAAAATACAAAATAAGTCTAGGAATGTGGCTCAGTGGTCAAGAGCCTGTGTGTTTAATCCTGGTACCCCCAAAACAAAAATTAAAATAAATAAATAAATTAAAAAGCTCAGAAGAGCCAAAGCAATCCTTAGCAAGAAGAGTGAAGCAGGAGGCATCACAATACCAGCCCTTATATTGTACTACAGAGCTACAGTAAAGAAAGTAGCAAGGTATTGACACAAAACCACAAATGAAGACCAATGGTACAGAGTAGAAGATGCAGAGACAAACCCATATAAATACAGTTATCTCATACTAGACAAAGGCTCACAAAATGCACATTGGAGAAAAGATAGCCTCCTCAATAAATGGTGCTGGGAAAACTGGAAATCTATATGCAGCAAAAATGAAATTAAACCCCTATCTCTCACCATGCACAAAACTCAACTCAAAGTAGATTAAGGACCTAGGAATTTGACCAAAGACCCTGCGCCTAATAGAAGAAAAAGTAGACCCAAATCTAAATCATGTCGGATTAGGCCTTGACTTCCTTAACAAGAGTCCTAAAGTGCAAGAAATAAAATCAAGAATCAATAAATGGGATGGATTCAAACTAAAAAGCTTCTTCTCAGCAAAGGAAACAGTGAGGTGAATAGAGAACCTACAGAATGGGAGCCAATTTTTAACACATGCATATCAGATAGAGCACTAATCTCTAAGAAATACAAAGAACACAAAAAACTTAATCCCAGAAAAATAAACAACCCAAACAATAAATGGGCTAAGGAACTGAACAGACATTTCTCAGAAGAAGAAATACAATCAATCAACAAATATATTAAAAAAACGTTCAACATCTCTATCAATTAGAGAAATGCAAGTCAAAACTACTCTAAGATTTCATCTCACTCCAGTCAGAATGGCAGTTATCAAGATTATAAGCAACAATAAGTGTTGGCAAGGATGTGAGGGAAAAGGCACACTCATACATTGCTGGTGGCACTGAAAATGGGTACAACCACTCTGGAAAGCAGTATGGAGATCCCTTGGAAAAATGGGAATGGAACCGCTATTTGACCCAGCTATCCCACTCCTTGGTCTATACGCAAAGGACTTTAAAATAGCATACTACAGGGACACAGCCACATCAATGTTCACAGCAGCACAATTCACAATAGCCAAACTGTGGAACCAACCTAAATGCCCTTCAATAAATGAACAGATAAAGAAACTGTGGTATATAACTCAGCAATAAAAGAGAATAAAATTATGGCATTTGCAAGTTAATGGATGCAGTTAGAGAGTATCATGCTAAACAGAATAAGCCAATCCCCCAAAACCAAAAGCCAAATGTTTTCTTTGATAAGTGGATGCTAATCCATAATGGGGGGGTGGGGCATGGGATGAGTGGAAGAACTCTGGATTGGCCAAAGGAGAGGGAGGCGAGGGGATGGGTCATTGTGATGGAAAAGATGGTGGAATGAGATGGACATCATTATCCTAGGGGTATGTATGATTGAATGAATGGTGTGACCCTACTTTATATACAACCACAGAAGTGAAACATTGTGCTCCATTTGTGTACAATGAATCAAAGAGCATTCTGCTGTCGTGTGTAACTGATTAGAACAAATAAATTTTAAAAATTTTTAAAATACTATATTGGCTCAGTAGACAAGTCTGCCAAACACATTCATTATGAAAAACACATAATTATGAACTAATTTGTGTAAATCTGCTCTACAGCTGTCTTTCCCCACTCAACTCAGCCTCATGGGAAGAGCAATTAGAAGTATCAAGAATGCTTAATTAAGAAAGACATGGAGGTAAGGGTAAAGAATTTTGCCTAAAATACAAAACAATGTTGATAGTACAGATCTAAATAATCCGAGAGGACAAAGAATCATATGTCCATCCTGGAACAAAGAGAAAGAGGGAGAATCCTAGGAGGCTCTTGATATTGAGTCTTTCATCCATACTTCAATATTTGCTAACCTGCCTCAATGTCCATAATATTGCTGAGGTGTAAATGAAAAAAAAAATAAGTGCACACACTGCGAAGATGGTATACAAAGAACAAGTCACTTGGCAATTGAGTAAACCTAGGTGACAACACAATTCACATCAAAATTAGCAGATGCTAGAAGAGAAAAAACAGAGGCTTGGGATTTTTTTCTTAGGACACAGATAATCAAACTAAGGTTATTAATAGATATTTTCTGAGAAAAATAAATAAATTTGGAATGCAATGAAACAAAGTCAGGCAAGTCTCTTTCTTAGAGAACTTCTTAAAGCCGATAATATGCTAATATGCACTGTGCACCTAAAAAGAAGGGGCCACATTTGCATGATTCACTTAGATCAGCAGCCATTTCAAAATATTGAAGTACATGAAAAAGGGAATTAATTTAAAAAAGAGCTACTTTGGAAGGTACAACATTAACATAAATAACTGCATACAAAACTTTCTAGGAGCCTCATATCCCTCTAAAGTTTGATACTTTATCTTCACAACAACTCTATGACACAGGGCAATTATGATTCTTTTTTTTACTTGAAGGAAAATGAAATATAGAAATATTAATCAAATTGCCAAAGGTCACATGGTTGAAAATAGTCAAGCCAGTATTCAGACTCCGACAGTCTGGCTCCTGCAGCCAAGTTCTTAATCATTGCACAATGTCATTCACTTAATGAAGTTCTTACCATGCATTCCAAAATAAATTGTTAGTTGGATATTAAGCAAGAATGAAAAATAAGCGTGATAATTAATTTAAATAGAAGGCAAAATTTATTAATTTACAAAACTCTTCAAGGAAATTGGAGATGGGAGAAGGTAGTAAAAATTGGAATTATAATTATGAAGTATACAGTTATGATAATGCACAGTTCCATAATTAACTAAAATTAAGAAGCATTTCAAGCAAAAGGTAGGTATCTCAATTTCCTAATCCACATGTAGGAAAACAATATGGCAAACACTTTGAAAATGTTCTCACCGTGATTCTCTTCATATCTAGCTGGCGCAGCTGCATCATATTCTGAAGGACAGTGTGTTTGTACCATGACTCTTGAGCTATTGGGTTGCCATCAAAAGTGATGTCTGATAGGGAAGTAGAGTCAGCAAGACAGGAAACACTGTCAAAACTACAGGAGAGACAAACCGCTGGATTATTCTGAGGCCTTCAAATAATGCTTTTGTAATAGACTTTTAAAAGAACAACTTTAGAATTATAGAAAAATTGAGAACATAGTATAAAGAATTCCCAAATACTTAACACTCAGTTTTCTCTTTATTAACATCTTGTATTAGTACAGTACACTTGTTACAATTAATGAGCCAATATCAATACAGTTGTACTAACTAAAGTCCAAATTTCATCCAGATTTCCTTAGTTTTTACTTAGTATTATTTCTCTCTCCCAGGAGCCCATCCAGGATACATTATATTTAGTTGTCATGTTTCTTTAAGCTCCCCTTGATTATGACAGTTCTCAGACTTTTTAAAATATTTTCAATAGCCCTGACAATTTTAAGAATACTTGTCAGCTATTTTGTAGGATGCCTTCTATTAGGATTTGTTGGATATCTTTCTCATGACTACACTAGGGTTAAGGAACCTATGCTAACATGACTTACCACTGTTGATAATTTGCCTTGATCATCTGGCTCAGGCCGTGTTTTTCAGGTTTCCCCAATGTAAAGTTAGTATTCCTTTCCCTTTTTTCATACTGAACACTTTGAAAGGAAGTCACTATATGATGTGCAGTCCACACTTAGGAAAGAGTTAAGTATTTCCCCCTCCTTGAGGTTGTAGTATCTAGTAATAATTTAGAATTTTTCTTTTTTGTATTTGGGGGTGCATTTATTTATTTCTATCAGTTTAGACTTATGCATATTTATTTTATGCTTTGGGTTACTTATCAATACCACTTTACTTATTTTCTTGTTCTAATTGTTCCAGCTTCGGCCATTTTGGAAATTCTTTCAATTGGCTCCTATATGTTCCTTGACCATCAATATGGATTATTATTACTAGTAGTAGTACTTCCTTAATTTCTAGTTCTACAATGTTTTTTAGATTGAAATATTTCCGGCCTTGTTCCTAGACTCTACCATTTCTCCAAGGAACTATGGCTCTTTTTATTGGAGAAGATATTAGAAACAAAGATCTAGGGGCTCCAGATATACTTTTTGCTAACCTAGTATCATTTATTTTAGGCCCTCTCAGCTGAGAGAAAAAAATTACACACACACACACACACACATAATATATATTATATAATATATATATATCATATGTATATTTATTTATATATATATAAATATCTTAACATTTCTCTTTATAACCATCTGTATCTATATTAGGCTAATTCATGACAATTCATAGTGATGTCTCCAAATCTAAATTATTACCGAATGAATCATTTTAGCCTACTGCCCTTGCTTGTCTGAAAATTCCTACTGCAACAAGGAGAAATCTGGTTTCTACTATCTGCTACCTATTTACTTAATTATTCAATTCCAGTATATCTGAATAGAGGTATCAGAATTTATAAGCTGTACTCACAATAGAAAATAATTTTATCAACTTAAATACAATGATTAAGTATAATTCCTTTTGCATTGAGTCTCAAAGATTCACTTCCAATGTTATATAAGCCAGTGCCTCTGTCCCCCACCCCTTCAGGGAGATTTATTCATATATTTAAAAATCTACAGTTAGATTTTCTTGCTACAATTTGCATTCCTTTCATGGATCTTCCAAGCTCCTAAATAATAAAAATTTTTAAAATTTGCACACATTGAGGATTTATCACTGTAATATTTATTCTACAGGTTTTGACAAATGCATAATGTCATATATCTACCATTAAAATATCATATAGGATAGTCTTCATGCCCCCCCCCAAATGGTTTATCCATTCAATTCTCCTCCTATTCACTCCAATTCCTGGAAATCCCTGATCTTTTTTACCGTCTCTATAATTTTGAAATTTAAGAAATGTCAAATAATTGGAAGTAAATACTACTAGAATTTAGCCTTTTCATATTGACTTCTTTCATTTAGTTATATGCATTTAATGTGCACTCATCCATGTCTTTTCATGGCTTTATAGCTAATGTTTTTATTAATGAGAAATATTGCATTGTATGAATGTAGCCCAGTTTCTTATTCACTTATCAAGAGCATCTTGGTTGATTTCATTTTTTGGTGAAAATGAATAAAATTGCTATAAGTATTTGTCAGCAGCTTTTTAAATGGACATGTTTTAATTTAAATTGAGTAAACACCTATGAGTACAATTGCTGGATCATATAGTAAGATGGTTTATTTTAGCTGTGTAAGAAACTATCAAAACTATCAAATTGTCTTCCAAAATGGCTATAATATCCTGAATTCTTATAAGCGCCCTATTTTCACCAGCATATGATATTTGTCAGTGTGTTTGGATGTTCTTCCAATAGGTGTGTAGTAGTATCTCATTTTAATATGCAATTCCCTAACAATGAAGGATATTGAGCTATTTCATATGTATAATGTGCCATCTGTATGTGGTTTCAGCTCTTTTGCCCATTTTTAATTGGATTCTTTGTTTTATATTATTGGTTCTTTTAGTTTTATATAACAGTAGAATCTATTTTGACATAATTATAAAAGCATGGAATACACCTTGTTCTAATTCAGTCCCCAATACCTCTTCTTCCCCTTCCCTCTCACAACTCCTGTTACCTTGCCTCTAATGATCTTTCTGTCATTTACCCATAGTTTTTATTAATTAATTTCTTATGGGTGTACATGATGGTGAGACTCAATGTGTTATATTCATGTGTATATATATTTATGTCAGATTCATTTAACTGTCTTTCCTCTTCCCATTGCCCCTCCTTTATCTTCATTTCCCTTTGTCTAATCTACTGAACTTTTTTTTAAAATTTTTTATTGTTGGCTGTTCAAAACATTACATAGTTCTTGATATATCATATTTCACAATTTGATTCAAGTGGGTTATGAGCTCCCATTTTTACCCCATATACAGATTGCAGAATCACATCAGTTACACATCCATTGATTTACATATTGCCATACTAGTGTCTGTTGTATTCTGCTGCCTTTCCTATCCTCTACTATCCCCCCTCCCCTCCCCTCCCCTCCCCTCCCCTCCCCTCTTCTCTCTCTGCTCCCTCTACTGACATTCGTTTGTCCCCCTTATATTATTTTTCCCCTTCCCCTCACTTCCTCTTGTATGTACTTTTGTATAACTCTGAGGGTCTACTTCCATTTCCATGCATTTTCCCTTCTCTCTCCCTTTCCCTCCCACCTCTCATCCCTGTTTAATGTTAATCTTCTTCTCATGCTCTTTGACCCTACTCTGTTCTTAGTTACTCTCCTTATATCAAAGAAGACATTTGGCATTTGTTTTTTAGGGACTGGCTAGCTTCACTTAGCATAATCTGCTCTAATGCCATCCATTTCCCTGTAAATTCTATGATTTTGTCATTTTTTAATGCAGAGTAATACTCCATTGTATATAAATGCCACATTTTTTTTATCCATTCATCCATTGAAGGGCATCTAGGTTGGTTCCACAGTCTAGCTATTGTGAATTGTGCTGCTATGAACATCGATGTAGCAGTGTCCCTGTAGCATGCTCTTTTTAGGTCTTTAGGGAATAGACCGAGAAGGGGAATAGCTGGGTCAAATGGTGGCTCCATTCCCAGCTTTCCAAGAAATCTCCATACTGCTTTTCAAATTGGCTGCACCAATTTGCAGTCCCACCAGCAATGTACAAGTATACCCTTTTCCCCACATCCTCGCCAGCACTTGTTGTTGTTTGACTTCATAATGGCTGCCAATCTAACTGGAGTGAGATGGTATCTTAGGGTGGTTTTGATTTGCATTTCTCTGACTGCTAGAGATGGTGAGCATTTTTTCATGTACTTGTTGATTGATTGTATGTCCTCCTCTGAGAAGTGTCTGTTCAGGTCCTTGGCCCATTTGTTGATTGGGTTGTTTGTTCTCTTATTGTCTAATTTTTTGAGTTCTTTGTATACTCTGGATATTAGGGCTCTATCTGAAGTGTGAGGAGTAAAGATTTGTTCCCAGGGTGTAGGCTCCCTATTTACCTCTCTTATTGTTTCTTTTGCTGAGAAAAAACTTTTTAGTTTGAGTAAGTCCCATTTGTTGATTCTAGTTATTAACTTTTGTGCTATGGGTGTCCTATTGAGGAATTTGGAGCCCGACCCCACAGTATGTAGATCGTAGCCAACTTTTTCTTCTACCAGACGCCGTGTCTCTGATTTGATATCAAGCTCCTTGATCCATTTTGAATTCACTTTTGTGCGTGGTGAGAGAAAGGGATTCAGTTTCATTTTGTTGCATATGGATTTCCAGTTTTCCCAGCACCATTTGTTGAAGATGCTATCCTTCCTCCATTGCATGCTTTTAGCCCCTTTATCAAATATAAGATAGTTGTAGTTTTGTGGATTGGTTTCTGTGTCCTCTATTCTGTACCATTGGTCCACCCGCCTGTTTTGGTACCAGTACCATGCTGTTTTTGTTACTATTGCTCTGTAGTATAGTTTGAAGTCTGGTATCGCTATACCGCCTGATTCACACTTCCTGCTTAGCATTGTTTTTGCTATTCTGGGTCTTTTATTTTTCCATATGAATTTCATGATTGCTTTCTCTATTTCTACAAGAAATGCCTTTGGGATTTTGATTGGCATTGCATTAAACCTATAGAGAACTTTTGGTAATATCGCCATTTTGATGATGTTAGTTCTGCCTATCCATGAACAGGGTATATTTTCCCATCTTCTAAGATCTTCTTCTATTTCTCTCTTTAGGGTTCTGTAGTTTTCATTATATAAGTCTTTCACCTCTTGTGTTAGGCTGATTCCCAAGTATTTTTTTTTTGAAGATATTGTGAATGGAGTGGTTGTCCTCATTTCCATGTCAGAGGATTTGTCGCTGATATACAGGAATGTCTTTGATTTATGTGTGTTGATTTTATATCCTGCCACTTTGCTGAGTTCATTTATTAGCTCTAATAGTTTCTTTGTAGACCCTTTTGGGTCTGCTAGGTATAGAATCATGTCACCTGCAAATAGTGATAATTTAAGTTCTTCTTTTCCTATTTTTA